CTTATGATGATAAAGACTGTGAAACAAATCAGGTGCATAAATCCTTTTGAGAAATGACAAAATGGAAGGCTTGCACCAAAGGCAGAAAGCTGGTGTGATGATGTGACTTTTAGAAGTCTGTGCTATACCAGCACAGGAGTCATAAAGAAAGCAAATACTGACAAGGGAGAGAACAATTAAGAGTGGGAGGAATCGATTAAACCACTGAAGAATGGTGATAGACTGGTCTAAAACAGGATGGAAACTGAGGCAGCAGAAGAGTAAAGGTGGAGTTGTGTGAGTCATACTTCTACAACCCTACTCCCTTTACTACAAATATCAAAAACATCTCCAAAACAAACAAAAAACCAAAACCACAGAGGCTTCAGATGCTTCTCAGCAGTAGCAGAAATTCAGCTGGAGGGTGGAAAGAGAGGGACAAGAGCTACTGGAGATCATCACTGAACCCTAGCCTGCTCCATCTGCCATGGGGTCACAAGGTTTGTGTGATTATTTCAGAGCCCGTTTTGAACACAAAGCAACACATTAAAATCTTCATTTAAGGAAGTGTCAGCAAATACTTAAAATATTCAAAATAGTGCATTTAAGCTAGAGTGGGTAAATAAGCTGGCTGTGTCAACTGCATAGGAAGCTTTTGGAACTCCAGGCCCAGCTTGCTGTCATCACTGCTGAGTAAGTTAAGAAAGGATCTCTTTCTACACCTAGAAATACAAAGCCCCACTCTGAAAGATGAATTCCCTGGGCTAAACGGCAGTCATTACTGCACCTTTCATATTGATTATTCCAAATATCTGCAGTAAAATTAAACTGTGATTACAGACCAAATGGATAATTTATCTCTTGCTAATTCTAGGCACAAATGTCAGGAGCTGCCAGAGCTCATGCCCATTCATGAACTGTGCTGATTTGCATTTCCAGAGCCTGTAAAGATGCAGGATGAATAGTAAACCTCTAAGTATAGACATAATTTAGTACAGATTACACTTTACTAGACCTACAGCAGTGGTAACGCTACTGAGGACTGTCAGCTTTTGCTACTTGACCTGGCACTTCTGTTTTCTTACTGAAGGAATTCGCATCAAGGGTATTAATTACAGAAATCAGAACACACTAGGATAATAAATACTGAAGGAAATTCTCAGCTCCCTCAAAGGAGAAAGGAAATAATGGAGGAATTTTTTTCTTTCATTTAATGCCAATTAGTAAAGCATGGTTGAGATTAATCAGAATTGAGACACAATTAAACATCTCTACAATAAATTACTATTATGGTTATTATTTACAACTTGGCTGTGACTAATAACCAGTGAGACTGATGCTCATTACAACAAATAATGTATAATTAGCTAATATTAGATATTTCAAGTACCAAATGGCTGTCATAGATCTCTTCTTAAAAGACTGTCACTATATTTTAGAATAATTTAAAAATAATAAAATACTATTATAATAAAGCACAGGATAATGAGTAGGAGAAAAGAACAGGTTCTAAAAAATGGATGAGACATTGCTTGCTAAGTTGACCTTTTAGAAATACCCACTCCTTCACTTATCTTCTAAATGAAAGGCAGGATTATTTTTAATTCCAGCTAATGAGAGCAGATGTAAGTACTCATAATTAAAAGTCACTCACATTTGAGCCACTACAGTTTTGCTATTATAACAGAGAATAACATTTAAGGTTGCATGACAAATACTACTCTACTCCATTATATTACAAATTCTTAGTTTTGGAATATTTCAATTGTGATATAACTTTTTCCCACAAGTCAAAGACCTAATTCTTCAAGAAATATTATAAAGGGACAGAAGAAAAAACTTCTCTTCAAAAGAAGATCCTACCTACTTCAAAGTTTAAGAGCAAAACCACCAACAAAGATGATGTTCATTTCTGAGAGGAGAAATAAACTTTTTCTACAATACAGGAAAAGATCTTCCTTTTCTAAACACATGGAAAACAGCAGAGGATTGAAAGCTGAAAATAACCCTCATTAAAAAGAAATGCCTATGATGGCTTTATCAAAAATGGTTGTAGAAACATTTTATCAGTGTCTGCGTACAGGGCGGAACAGGATTTTTTCTAAGATTTTGAAGAGCACAGCTAAGGAAGACTGCTCTGAACATCTGTGTGTTGCTAACTCCACAGGGAGAAGGATCCCAAAGCCGCACAGAAAACTGGCTGTACTGGCTGCTGTGCAAAGTTGCCCCTTCCCTCAAGGAAAACCGAATCTACTATTGACGACACTTATGGAACAGTGGTTGCTGAATGGCATTAACTACATGTTTATCTGCTAATTTTCTCCTGGTTGCTTTTAGGATTCAACAGTTCTGGAGTTGGCTATATTTATTTCTTACCCAACTGTTTTCTACTCCTTTTGCTGGGTATCAGTGATCACTTTTAAAGGTACTGTCTTGATGGAAGTAAAGCACAATGCCTCAGTTAAAGTAACGGTATTTGATGGACTTAGGTGGACTATTTCTTGCTGCACTGGAAAATATCTTGCTCCAAACACTCCTGAGCAGGGTCCTATATGATTTGGATCTTTCTGCTACAAGTCACAGCATGTGCAACACATTGGGAGAACAATAGCTGAGATTGGTGTTAGCAGAGATGCAACCTACAAGTACTTCCAGGGAAATCGGTTTCTAACTTTCATTAGATTAAATTCAAAACCTTAAAATGGTTTTGTACTAGCTTAGGGTCTTCGTATTTTTCCAGCACATATCCTGTGGGACTAAAAATGACAGGCATCTGCTTTGGTGAAGTTGGATATACAAGAAGAGTATGGTGACAGGATTTGTATTCTTTCCTTATACAGAAATGCAGAGTTTCTTTTGAAGGTAAATGGCTAAAAACCAAGGAAGGACAGTTCTCTTTCTTGGTATCAAACCAGGTATGATTGAGAACCCAGGCTTGGTTTCATTTCACAGTCTAATATAAAAGCTCATTAGCTCAGAGATCTTCAACTGTCCCAAAGATAGGCAGTTGATAGGGCCCTGCTTCCTTACACCCGTGCTTTCCGAACCACAGAATGGAATTGCCTTTTCAATCTCGTTCTCTGCAGCAAGGGTGTGGGAAAGGTTATTATCATGTTGCCAAGGGAAATGCACCATCCCATCATCAAAAGCCAATATTATTGACTGACAGTATTCAGAGAGGGTTATGGCTTGTAAAACCAGTCATTGACATTACAATCCGAACAACAGTGCTCTCTCTTGGAGTGAGCCAAGGAGAAATAACATAAACTTTTACATTTTATATTATTTTTATTTCTACTAAATGCTGTGAAATTCACTTAACTTTTTCCTGGTCTGACCTCCATTCATTTTACTTGAATTGCAAAGGAAAATGTTTCCTGGTTTGAAAATTGACTGAAAATGAAAGATTAAGTAATGCTCTCTGCCCTATTTTTCAGTTTCTTTTACCATTTCTACTAGACTTTTAATATGAAAAACATCTTTATTGTTTTATTAGAGCAACTATTCCACTTCAAATAAGTAATTTACAACCCATTCTGGGGTATAGGAACACCATTTCCTTAAAAAATAAAGGCACTACAGTGTACTTGTCAGTGCCCTGATGCAAACAGAGCAATGTTTGATTACCTCAGCATGAAAATTAAGAAGTTAATTAATTAATGAAAGTTAAGAAGATTTTCTTACCTCTTACACCTTTAGCTGAGCAGCCCATTTCTTTCTAAGTGTAATATCTTAGTAGTTTTCCAGGCATGGGGAGACTCGACTACTGAATCTGACTTAGATTGTTGAGCAGACTTAAATGTGCATGCAAAGTGGTGTTCCAAAGAAATAAAGATCTGTATCCTGGTATCTGGGGAGAACATTGCTCCATTTCAGCCAAATCTGACTGAGAGACGGGGTCTTAAAAGCATAAAATCCCAAAAGAGGAATAAGAATCAGTGAATAGCTGACCACTGATACCCCATCTGTACCTCCACTGATGAAACAACTAAGCAAGCACAATACTCAACCCTTCTAATAGCAAGAATCAGCTGGCTGGTTATACAACTGTTGCACAGACACTGAAAATATGGGGGGGAAAAAAAGGAGTTTCTTTTCTGGGCTTGGCCAGGTCAGAACAACACTTCTTTTCTGTGCTGGAAGAACATGCAGGACACACGTGAACTGGACATCATCAAACTTCATTAATTCCAGTTTCTCTGCTTTTACTTAACATCATCACAAAGTGACTAAAACTCAACCCAGTCAACTGATTGCATGCACAGCAAATTTTAAAAGGGATACTCCTGTGAGTGCAACTTAGTCCATATTATGACACCCAATTGAGTGAATGGTGCAGAAAACTCAAGTTCCTCTTCCTTATATAAGGGAACAACTGGCAAGGTGACCTCTTTGCTAGATGATGCCAGCACTGCCCTGAGTACCTGGGCGGCCTCAGGAGACCTCTTCCAAGAGGATCTGCCTAAGGCTATTCTGTGTCCCAGGGATGGATATCATGGTGTCTGCTGAAAATGTGACATATGGCAACTCACTCCTCACAGGTTAAACCTCATGAAGTTGTGGACATTGTCCCAACATTTATTATTAACTAAAATGCCAGGCCTGTGGCTTACACTGGACTTATGCCAAAACTGTTCTTTGACAGATCTTTAATGTCTCCTGTATCCTTGGAGAAACTAATCAGTGTTTTGTTCAGAGATATACTGGAAATACAAAATAAAGATAAATCTGTTGGTGACACACACTAGTTCACGAATGCACATATCCAAATGGGATGATGGATAAAAACACAATCTTACAAATAACAGTTCACAACTGTAGTCTGCTGGGAAACTATTCAAAACCAACATTGTATTCTAGGTATTTCTTGAAAATTGCATGGTATATACACAGAACATCTGCTGACATCACAGTAATTTGAAGAAAAGGAAGAAGTAACAATAAGCACTTCACAGTACAGCAGATAACCTGATAAGCCAAGATTAATAGACAATATTTATGATGAAATGAATTAACTGTACCTTGAAAAACAATGGCTCCTCAGGAAGGGGGCTGACAGGGAGGGAGGCTGTGCTGCCAGCTGGGCTCATATCTGTACTCTGAAAGAAAAATACACAGGAGTTTGCATTTCCAATCAACTTCTACGGACAACTTTTTTTTACATTTTGGAGGAGGGGGGATGAAAGAGCTTGAAAACAGCACTGAAAATCCAACAGAAATAGACTGACAACTGCAACCTGTACTTATTTGCTTGTAATTAGTTCAAGTATTTCACTAATGGGTAACTTGCATTTTATTTTGAATTAACTCCCCATTCAAAGACTGAAACACACAAGTATACAAACATGCTGTTCATATTTGTTCATACAGAAAAACTTATTCATCTTGAAACTATGACATAAAATTTTAAATTATTTTTGGGATGGCTCAACAGTATATTTAGAAGGAAATATTAACAGGAAAGCAATATATCACAGGAAAATATTAGGTTCGATGTTTAAAAAACGATCCCATCCACATGAGTCAATATACTTTACAAACAAGCCCTAATACAAGAAAAGAAACAGTGAAGACCAAAGTTATAAATAAAAATAATTCTGTATACTTCAATGGATCTGTCAAGTCAAAATGCTTGAAAGATTGACCTAGAACCCCACCCTCTTCAAATCACATTTCAGTAACCTGTTGGTTAGCATGGTCATTATTTTTACAGATGTGACAGATATTAAAACAAGTGTGTGACTCTTAACAGTATTTAATGGTAATAATAAGAGAAGAACAAAATCTGGAATTTAAAAACATACATAAACAATATCACAATTCTTCTGGAGAAAACTAGAATAATGCTACCTCTTGGGAAAAAAGTTCCCTGAGTGCTAAAATGAAAAAAAATCCACCATGACCACTACTAAAACATAAATTAATAATATAAAAAAAAAAATCATCAAGTTTGCATAGCCTAGTAGTGCATTCCTTTTGACAATGTAGCATTGCAATGCAGAATGATCTCATAAATTCAACTTGTGCACTTGACTAATCTAATACCTGTTTTTGCATCACTATTAATCTACTCTAAGTCCTTTGATAAACCCAAATTCTGCAAGTGAAGCACACTGCTCCAACCAGTAATTTCTAACACTTCATTCATCAGAAGATGTTTATGGAGAGACACTGCATTTTACTCAGCCAACTGGTCAGGGATGAAAAACGACAAAATTTTGGGTACAAAATCCCTGTGTCAAATCCAAAACAGGGCAAATCCAAAACAGAGACTTCAAAGTTAACATCCACTGAGAAAATGTGATTTAAATTAGCTACCTATCAGTTACACCATAGCTGAAAGAAAAGGCGACAGTTGCTTGCTAAATAATAGGGATGCAAGTAAATGAGAAAGAAGGGGGCCATGGTAATTATATCCTAAGAAAGAGCCGGGTAATTTTTAACCCACGGAACACAGAGATGATGTTGAGGAATAAAGAGAGATTGCAGCATGTCAGAAGGTCAGTATCTCTGCAGAATCCATTGTATTCAGAAACACTACAAATTTTAACACAGACTGCTGCACCTGATCATCAAGAAAACTGGCCAGTAATATTTACAAAATGAAGTGAAACTTAGCTGTTCTACATTCAACACAGAGTGCAGACAAAACTGAATACTTCTGTGGGAATGTTTTGCCTCAAATGCCAGCAGCTCAGCCTAAGACAATTTGCCTTTTAATTTACATAGAATAGAAAAAACATTTAAGGGGGGGGGGAAATCGAGCATCTGATTTCCAAACCAAATCAAGTGCCCTAATTTGCAGTTAGAAATATGCAGAAGGACAGACCCATCTTTAAGCACTGAAACAGCATCCCTAGAAAAATCTGCGAAGCATGAGCTGCACATTGTTCAGGGATAGCTGGAATCCAAGGAAGGTTTAACAGCCCTGGGGATGGCATTGGTGTTGTCACAAAACACCTCAGGGCACATGCAGAGGATGGCCTCAGAAGAATATCTGCTCTTCCACGATGAGTGGACAGGAGCCAGCTCAGGTCTGCTGTCACACGGATGTGGCTCCACGGCCTGTTGGGGGTGGGGGGTGTGTCAGCAGGGGCACCACGACCACATGGCTTCTGGACTGAAATTAATTTGAGTCTGGCCAGACAGGAGCACTGGCAGGAGAGCCTAAAGCTGTCCACATATACATACTCTCAGTGGCTCCTCCAACACCTTCAGTAATTTTCCTCTCGAAGGAAAGCAGAGCGCTATCTGTGCCTGTGTAAATTAATTAAACCCAGCGGTACTAACACAGTTTATTATAGTGGAGGACTGAGTGAGCACCAAAAGGGTTGTTTCTCAAGCTATTAAAAAACCCAAACCCTTACAAACTAATCACTGCTATGAAAGATGTTGATAGCTTGCCTTCCTGAAGCAACATACTAAGAATTTCAAACAACACCCCACTCCCCACTTAAATTTGCTCTCTGTGGTGTGGTTATCATAATCACACTTGGCGGTCTAAAGCTCCCCATACATATTAAAAAAAAATCACTGGGAGGAATTTACTTACTGGGGACTTTTTATTTAATGTTGTCTAAACCAATTGTGTTCTCATAAAAGCAGCCACTCACTTCAAGACCAGCGTAAACTTGATCAGTTTTAGTTATAAATTAACCAGAAGATGCTATACCATGAGGCTATAATTATATGTTTTAAGTCATTGCAAATGCTAAATAAACATAATTTGTATCTTAATTCAAAATATTAGGCAAAATTAGGACATCTGATTTTGAAGTACTTTGCTGTGCAACTATAATTTTAATATGTGTTTTTTATGCACAAAATGCACAGCTGGGTTTTGTTGACTGAGCCTTTTCCATGTGTCACTGGAAACCTCTCAGTTTACCAGAGGGCAGAAAATTTGCACAGCTTTAATCACCTAAACTACATTTTCAAAATATGTGAATACCAAGCAATTCAAGTATTTCTCAGAACAACAGTTTAGAAAAATACCATCTTACCTATGCCAAGAAAAAAAACCAAAACACTGTGAGCATTTCTCTCAGTGCTTTTAGGCCATTTTTTTTTGTTTGGAACAGGCTGCTAATATCCAGAAAAATGATATTATTAGAATTTTGTCAATAAATTTTCCATGATTGTAAAGATCAACACTACGTTTTATTCTAATTTCTAGAATCAGTCTAAATATACATCAATCTTATTGTGCAGTTGAAAAGGTACCTTGGATTCACTGACAGGCCATGCTAATCATTTATCCTTGGAGAGCAATGTTAAAACTGTGATCAGGAAGTATCCTGATAATGAGACAAAGGAAGAAAACAAGTCCAATAGAACAAGCTTTTCCCATTGCTACATCCATTTTGGAGATCCAAGGTCAGGATCCTGTTTGAGGACCAATTCTCATCATTTGAGCTGGATGGAATAGAAAGCACCTGTTTCTAGAGCTGTTTTAAAGTAGTTAAAGGCTTGGTTTTGTTTTATTCCACTTGTCTCTACCTTCCTCAAAGCAGAACATTTCACAAACCTACATAACAACATAAACTGTCTAACAGCAGATTAGAGAATGTAGTCAGTGGTTCTCCAGCAACACAAAGTGTTGTGCACAGTGTTAAAAACACACTCCTTTGAAAAGGACTCCTTCTTTTGAAGAGTCATCTCCCAGTCTTCAGCAACTCTCCTATAAATGAAAGCAGATTCACTGTATAAATTCAGATTTTTCTTGCTACAAACCCTTGCCTTTAATCTGACGTTCTTTAGGAAGTGGCCTATCTGTCAGCCTTCATTAATTGTGCCATAAAGTAAGGACCATGCACCAACAGAAGCCAATTTAATTTGCTACAACTGCTGTTCAACAGGGGTAAACACTGCAATGGTAGCTGGCAGACACTGACTCCTCAGGAGACCAGTATCACAATTTATTGATCTAAGGAGTTAATACTGACAGAGAAAACCTTCAGTGGATATTAGAGCTAGAGAGCCAATAAATCTTTATAATAACTGAAGAAAAGACAATCTGTGTACTTTATAGCTTTGTCTAAGGGGTAGTGGATGAGTGCTGAAGTGACTTTCAGAGTGATAGTTTTAGTTGTATCATAAGTTATGTCAGAAAATATCATTTTATAATCTAGAAGTTGAGTAGAACTAGGAAATTAAATAAGTGCAGTCAGCAAGCTCAGTAGTGACATTTTGATATACTGAGGGTAATCAAAGACCTGCAAATGGATTTATTAATGGGTCTGCACAGTATTTTTATGAAATATTGTACTTAAATATCATTATCCCATTTTATCCATGGATGTGAAAAAGAAGGGAAAGTGATTTCCTCAAAGCTATGAAGGTAGGTTAAAAACAAAGAGAGAATCATGCAGTTATTCATCCAGGGTGTGCAATGCTCTCCTACACACTTTTGGAATGCTCTGGTTTCTGTAATTTCTGTATTATTTCATGTCATGAAGAGGTTTTGCTCATACATATACTTCCAGCAAATAAATTTTCTATAAACAACTGAGGCCAGAAAAATGAAAATTGGTTTAGATTAAATAAAATAGTGGACACACAATAAAAGCTTTCACCTCCCACCCTCTATCAGGTTTGAGTAACGTCCCCCAACATCTCCCATCACTCTCACTAAGAACAGAGTGAGAGGCTCCTTAAAATGTGTTTTGTACTATCTATGGATACAATTCAGGTGGTTATTTATAAATCCATGTCACATCTCCTTCCTTAGAAAATACAGCTAAATATCTTACTAATTACTAATGCATGCAATTAACAGCTGAGACATTTAAGTATTATTTTCCAGTATTTGCCTGGAGCTCGCTGCTCCCATAGCTAGGAAGGCTGTGAGGGTCTTGCATCTGACCTGAGTTATTGTAGCTCCCATTGCAGGGGTGAAGCATAAATTACAGCTGCTGCTGTGTCTTGCTACCTCTTTTTATGCTCCCTGAAGTACAGACGGCTGGGGAAGGTTTCAGTGGTTCAATTACCTACTGATTCTCAATCAGCAATTAGGATACAGGCACACAGATTAGTCCTGATTCCTCTCTCAATCTAAGCAAAGCCAATCACCTGGGGAAGTTGGGAAATTCCACCTCAT